CGGGGCCAGCGGGGCGGGGCCTGGCCTGCGGGGCGGGGCCTGGCCTGCGGGGCGGGGCCTGGCTCTCCGCGGAGCTCGTATTTTCCGCGGTGCAAGGTTTGGGTCTGAGGTCGCCTTGTCACTCCAGTACGTGTCCGCATTTGCTCAAAGGCTTTCCTCCCCCGGCGTGGCCTCAGCCCCGGCTCCACGGTTGGCGGTGAGAAGCTGTTGCGGGTCTGTCGTTGGGCTGTATTCTGCTCTGGTGGTCTGTTTATCCGTCTCGCTTCCTGTAGCCTCGGAGTGAGTTTTAAATCAGATTGTTTGACCTCAGTCTGTACTCTCTGTCAAAGCTTTTTTGCGACAGGGCCTCACTATGTAGCCAAGCTAGCCTTGAACTCCTGATCTACTTAGTAACAACACCGAGTCACGTGACTGTTGCACACAGCACGCCTTCCCACTCATTTAGGTATTTCTGTTAACACAGATTAAACCTTCTGTCGGTTCCATCCTTGTCAGATTTATCCCAAAGCCAAGGGGTTTGCGAGGAAAGCTACTTTTTGATGCTATGTAAGTCAACATTTTAAGTTTCATTTCCAGTTCTTTGCTAATATAGAGAAATAGTTGATTTTTTTAAATTTCCTGTGTACATTTTGTAAAAGTCTTTTTTGAATTGTAGCAGCTTTTTTGTAGATTTCACCAGATTTCTACACTGCAGAATTGGCCTATGAATAGAGTTTTACTTCCTCCCCACTCCGGACGACTTCTATTTCTATTCTTGTGGTCTCCCACTGGCTCCCCCTCCACAGAGACTTTAAACGCTGAGCGCAGACAGCCGCCCTGCTTCTGACCTTGGAGGAAGAACGTTCAGATTTTGCTTCGAATCTCAGTAATGTTAGCTGAGGACTTATTTTTTCGCGCTTGAACCCAGGGCCATCCTCGTGCCAGGCACGCACTGTACCACTGAACTCCAGCTCGAGCCCAAGCTGGAGGTTTTCATACTCATTCAAGTTAAAGACCAGTTACCCTCTCTTCTTAGTCGTTGAGTGAGTTTGTCAAGAATGGGTGTTGGATCCCACCCGTGCCTTCCTGAAGCTATTGAAATGATCATCTGGCTTTTCTTTTTCCTTTTTTAAATTGCATATGTGCTCCCCTTGAAAAGGTGTATCGAACCCCTAGTGTAGGACCTGTGAATGAATAGCACCTTTTCCTTTTTTTCAGTAGTGGGGATTGAACCCAGGCCCTGCTGCCTGCTAGACAAACACTGCCACTGAGCTACATCTTCACTCATTTTTGGAGACAGGGTCTCCCTGAGTTACCCAGGCTGCCCTTGAACTTGCTGTCCTCCTTTGCTAGCCTCCCATACAGGTATGTGCCACCATGCCCAGCCATGTGAATGTATTTCTACGCAGGGACCTGTAAAAGTAATCAATTAAAAATATGCCAGTTAGGGTGAGATCTAATCCAGTATGATGGTGTCGTTATAAAAAAAAAAAGAGGTGCCGTGCCATGCCTGTAATCCCAGCTACTCCAGAGGCTGGGGCAGGAGGAGTTTCAGGCCAGCCTGGGAAAGACTCTGCCTCAAGACAAAAAAGGCGGGGAATGTGGCTCAGTAGAGTGCCCCTGAGTTCAGGCTGCAGTGCTACAAAAAACAGAAATGAGAACACCGAATACAGAGACACACTCAGGGACAACACTGTGTGAGGAGGCACGGGGAAAGGCAGCTGTCCAGCAGCCGAGGAATGCCGAGGTTCCCACAGCCAGGAGAGGAGCCCCGGAGAGTCGCATCTGCCAGGAGGATCGTGGCACTGCATCCAGGCGGTGACAGCAGTCCCACTCGTCCACAGCACACTGTGCCTCCCTGCTGCCCGCCTGGGAAACCAGTGCTTATCGTAAACGACTTAGTTGAGCTTTGAATGTGAAGTCAGCTTTGGTGTTTCTGAAATAATTCTCACTTGGTCAGGATGTATTATCCATTTAACCTACTGTTAAATTTGTTAACGTTTTGTTTAGTTTTTCAATGTACTGTTGGGATGTTGGTCTGATTTTTTGTTTGCCGGTGTGTGTAATGCTTTTGCCTTGCTTTGTGATTAATGTGATGCTAGTTTCACACAATGAGTTAGGAAGTTTCCCCTTCTTTTTGGTTTCCTAGAAAAAATTATGTAAAATTTGTGTTTCTTCCTTAAATGTTCGTTAGAATTTACCAGCAAAGCCCCATGAACCTGGAAGGAAGGAAGATTTAAACTGCAGGCTTTAATAAGTGTTATTTAGGCTGTATTTCTGAGGAATTTGTCTCATCTTAGTCAGCTAAGCTCTGGGCAGGGCTCACTTGTAATATTCCATTGTCACCCTTGTTGCATCCGTACACTCAGGGCTGCTGTCGGCCCTCTCGTCTCTGTGGTCGCGATTTGCTTTAGATGACTGTGTCAGCCTCCTTGGGCTGCTGTAACAGATCATGGGGACTGTGAAGATGACGGAAAGGTCCGAGTGCCCCCGTCCTGCTAAGAGCTGCTGCACTGGCCTGTAGATGATCCCCTTTGTGTCCGTGTGTCTGTCTCTTCTCACAGGACACACCCTGTGCTGTCAGCGCACCATCCTCCTGCCTCTGCCTAGCTGCAGCCTTGGACTGCAGGGTGGGACACACTTGTCTACTCCCGTCCCCGGCTGCAAGGGGCACAGCTCCCTGCTGTGGCTCCTCAGTACAGCTGGGGTGGTTCCCAGGGCCCTCCGAAGCTGCTCTCTTCTCCAGCCAGCACCAGAGGGAGGGAGCGTTCTCTCGATCCTTCCCAGTTTCCTCTGTGAGCGCACAATGCGGTTCTTGCGGTTCTTGGAGGAAAGGGCTGCCTGAGGGAGAGAACATTTTTTTTGTGGTACTGAGCTCTGAACCCAGGGCCCTCTGACCTATACTCTCAGCCCATTTTTTATTTTGTTTTGAGATAAGGCCTCATTAAGCAGCAAGGTTGCCAGGCTCTCCAGGTGGGCCTGATCATGTGATCTCCCTGCCTCAGCATCCCAGAGAGGTGGGATTATGGCGTGTGCCGTGGGAGAACCTTCCATTCACGCAGTGGCACTTGTTCAGCGATTCATTCACGACTTCAAGGTTAATCTTCCTACCATCTGACATGCTTTTGAAGCTGTCTGTCTCAGGTGGGCAGAAGTTTGGGAAGAAGTTCTTTTCTTCAGGCCTGTCTCTATATTTGAGGGTTGATGAGTTTATCAAGACTTTAATTTGCAGCTTGTCTGGTTTTTATCTTGTAGGATAAAAGTGACACTCTCTCTTCATATCGCTGAGCTAAAACCAGATGTTCCATCCTTTTTATGTTTAACCTGTCCATTTTTTTTTTCTTTTTCTTTTTTGAGCACCAGCCTCATTGGCAGGTGCTCTGTCAGCTTGTGGCCTCTTCCTGTTGGCCAGGATCTAGCTGAGGGAGTGTTACTGGAGGGTATCCAGGGACTTCGCATTCCTTCACTGTCCGTTCTAGTCATCAAGTTACACCACTAAGTAACTACTACTTAGGATCCCAGCTTTTTTTTTCCAGAATATTTTTTGCATGGAGTAATTCCTAAATGCTGTGCTTTCCTTTTATCAAAGGGTATGTCAAGAAATCAGCTTTGTAAAAGTCTCCTGAGTTATTGTAAAAATAATTGAGAATGCTGATCATGACTTCACTAGCTGGTCTCCCATGAAAAGCTCTACATGGCAAGAGCCTTTCAGAATTCAGGGCTAGAGAAGGGAAGCCTTTTCTTCAAGAATTCTTCCTTTTTTCTTATACTAAGGGCTGTGTAATCATACATCTTCTGCCCTAGCTCAAAGACACATAGGGCACACAGTGAAGCTGCGGCTAAGTTGGCCTTCAAGTACATGTTTAGGTACTTCTTTCAGTCAGTCCTAATTTTCTACCACTGTTTAATCAGGAGCATTAAAGAATATACATCTTTATTATATGTCTTACATGGAGTTGCTCCTGATCATTTTTCAGTGAAGTAGTGTGTGAATTTATACCTATCTATCTATAGAGAATTTAGAATTAAAAAATACATCTACATATAAAACCACTTAAGTGTTTGTGAGGTGTGGACACACACACCATCAGTTTCATTCCTCAGTAACCTAGGAGTTAGGCGTTGTACTTGAAGGAAAGCTAAAGATAATTACATGGTAACTGACTTGGAGATCATCTGGGGAGACAAAAGGCCAGTCCCTGCTCCTGGGCGGCCTTCAAGGAGGCTCAGCTGGACATTCCACTGACTACTGAGCTCTGCACCCCTCCTTGGCCCTGCACTCCTGATCTCTTCCGTGCTACCATCCTTTTTGTTTCCTTCCACAGTGTGTATCACTTTCCAACATTCAGTGTGTATCACGTTTATTGTCGGCCCAGTTTCCAGTCTATGCTCCCTGAGGACAAGCATATTTGTTCCAACCCCCTTTATGCCTCACAATAAATATGTGGTAAGTGAACAGTTGTAGAAGTACTTTGGTGCACCTAGGAAGGCATGGTGTCTGCTTCAGTGTGGGGGTATGGGAAAAGCCATCAGAGAAACGTGATGAGTTCAACAGGGGACAGGAGAGGAGTACTTTAGGCACAAACTCAGGAGCCTCAGATAAGGGTAAATGCCTTGCTAATACTACTGGTAGGAACCCCCCACACATAGTTGGTCTATGCATGCAATTTCCTCCCCAGAATGTAAGGTAATTTTTTTTCAGGCCTTTGACCTGAGCAATACCCGCAGTTCCCCAGCCTTTTTTTTATTTTTTGAGGCAGGATTTCTCTAAGTCGCTAAGTTGCCCAGTTGGGTCTGCATAGCGAGACCCTGTCTCAAAAAGACAACAAAATAAAGCAAAACAAAACAAAAATCATAACGCTGAGTTACCAAATAGCGAAACATGTGTATAGAAAGTGGCTTGAAGAAAAAAGTGAAAGGAGTGAATCTAAACACAAGAGGTTTCCTGTATGTTAATTTGTGAGTATACAATTTACAATTGAAATCTTCAAGATGGTTTTCACCACTGTCCTAGTGTCCTGAACTCCGCTGTGCCTCTCCCCTGGAGCCTGGCTTTTGGTGCTAGTGCTGCCTTGGATCTGTTCTTGCTAAGGTCATATTGTGGTTCATTTTTTCTACATCTTTTTTTTTTTTTTTTTTTTTTTTTTTTGTTTTTTTGTTTTTTTTTGGTACCAGGAATCGAACTCATGACCTTGTGCTTGCCAGGCAGGCGCTGTGCCACTGAGCTAAATCCCCAGCCCCCATTTTTCTACATCTTGATACCTGTGGTAGCTGGCATTCTGGTGCCTGCCTGCCTCTGCCTCTGCCTCTGCCTCTGTCCCTCTGCTTTCCTGGAGCTGTAACTGCTTCTCATTCTCGTGTAGGCCCTACCTGAGGTAAGGGCCGTTGTCTCCCAGGATGCCCTGCATCCTTGCCCATGGCCTTCTCCAGCCCAGCTGCCACACTACAAAACAGCTCCAGCTCTGGACCCTTGTGTTCAGATGCCTATTTATAATTACAGAGAAACTTTAATTCCAGCATATCTGAACTCAGACTTCACCCTTGTCCACATTTCCTCTCTGCGTTCCATGTATGTGCCACCAACTCCCACCAGTTCTGTCTTTGCTCTGTATTCTTGCTCTCCACTCCCATGAACCATTTTCAGTTTAGCCTTCATTTGGACCAACTCAGTCAGTCACTCTGGATCTTGCTATAGTCAGGTTCCATCTACCTCCTCTCAATCAACTGCAGCCAGCGCTGTAAGTCTTCCTAACGGCTAAACACGCTGGAGGATCAAGTTCAGTTCCTTACTAAGGGTTCCTGTCCTTTTGTGGCATCCTGGAAAGAGTACAGGTTTCAATCTTTAACAGTCCCAGTGTGACTGTGATTGTGCCTGTGTGTGTGGTGGGGTGTTCCAGTGTCTCCAGAAAAGGTGTTGCAGCATTAAAAATGTAAACAGTGAAGTGTCTTATACAAGGCAGATGCTCAAGAAACGGCTGCTCTCTGATTACGGCTCCTCTGGCCCCACATGCTCCCTCTACGTTGGTGCAACAGGATGGCATGTGGCTGTGGATGTGGTCAGCCTGTTCTTGACCTTGCCTCAGCTGGTACCTGGAGTAGGCCCTTCCCTGACTGTCTCCTTAACTCTCACTTCTTATTCAGTGCTAGCTATAAGTGGACACCACTTCTACGTCCAGATCCTGCTGCCACCCCTGGAGCTAATTCTGTCCTCACTTCTGCTCCCCCTGAATCCTCCATAACTCTCCTCCAGAGTTCTTCTGACACTGGATGCTACAAGAGCCTGCGGAAGCTCAGTGAGAACAGTGCTCAAGCTCTTTCTGTGCCTGACTCTGGCTTGAGCACTAACCAGTCGCTGGCACAAATTGTCCGAATTATAAGATATGTACAACTAGGGGCAAGAATATGTGCTCTAACTAGAATTATTTTCTGAAATAAGCTTTAATTGTTTCTCTTGCAAAATTTAACCTCTTGGCTGAAGGGGAAAAACAATTCAAAGTACATTCATTATATATGCGCATTTATTTAGTTCATTTTGATTCTAAAATCCACATTATTCAATCAGCTAGACTTGGTATTATTAGATATGGATGCATTCTTTTGGGCACAGAATAAATGTAGTAGCCTGCCAAGGTACACTAAATTGTAAGGAGATGAAAGTTCTCATTTAAATCTGATGATGGATACCATGTATCAATACTAAATTGCCTACTGCTGAGAAAATCCTATAAACTGGCTTTTAAGGCAAGTTAAAATAGACTCGGCTCTCCCTTTACATAGTAACTTCTGGCCATAAAGGACAATATTAATCATAGGTGCTAACTGTATTAGAGGTTCTAAACCTCAACTATCAGAATAAAAATGAAATCCAAATACCCGTAAGTCAACAGTTTTTTATATACCTGAAAGTCCACAATTTACATGAGTACTTTTATTCTAGCACTGTAAATTTAGACAATTTATTTAAAAGTATGCATAATGGAAGATAACATATTTATCTGTCCAGATTTTATTATGATTATTGAAGTTAAATAATTTGATATCATTTGATTATTAATTCAGTAAAATTTGTGTTGGCAAGTCTTGCATGGAATTAAAAAGTATCTAAAAATTAAACCAAACTATAATAAAAGTAAAAAGCATTGTTTGTTTTAACAAAATTTATTATGCAGTAATTACAAAGGTTAAAGGCGCTTCCATCTCAAATAAAAATAACTTATAATTACACTCATAATATAGTACCTTAGAGAGCGATTCCTAAATACCCAGGAAATACAGTGCATTTCAAGTCGGAGAGACAGATCCTTGCTCCTTCCCAGTGTCTGTCACAGGAAAGCCTGCTCGTGCTCTTAGGAACAGTGCACACAGTGCGGGGCCCACATAGTTCCTTCAGAACGTGAAATATCGGGCAAACCATTCCTGGCGCTGGGGATCTGGAGAAGCCGCCGGGGAAGCTTCGCCCTGAGGAGGACTGAATTCATAAAGAGAAGAGACAGTAACCCCGCATGAAGTGGTTTTGCAAAATAAAGGGCAAAGCACATCAAACATCAGTGCAGACCAGCACAGCTGGCTCCCCACACAGGGCTGTGCTGCAGACTGCTGCTCCCCTTGTGCTCCAGGAGGGCAGAGAGCCTCGCACAGCCCGGAGGTCAGGTGAGGAGCAGCCACAGCACAGCAGGATCACCACACACAGCACAGACTGGACAAGCAAGAAAACCACGTCACCACCTTCAGATGCAACAGCTCTGAAGGAATTGTGGGAAATGACAGATTATGTTTTCTCTCAGCACTTGTCCCTGTTCAGTTAAAATTGTAGAATCTGATACAAGCACCTGCTTCTTACAAATATATCCTTAAATATAACTAAGTCAATTTAGTATTCTTTACTATCTGCATATGCATACTGTTCATTTCATAACTCCATAAGCAGACACTCCAAGAAAAGGAATGCATTCAAACCCCAGTTTCCCTTCTAACTTCCGAGTTACACAATTTATACTTATCTTAATTCTAACTATAGTCTTTGGGCTACTTGAGAAAACAAAAGAATCCCTACCGTCTCTGGGGCAATTACAAGGCACCAACAACGTAATGGGAACTCCCGGTCCTGCTCCTTGGGCTCATGCACATGCACCTTACTGAAACCTGAACGCACCCATGCGCAGGGAAACAAGCGACACAAAAGGGTTAGCAGGAGACACTTCACAGGCGTGTGGGGTTACTGTCATTCTTGTGTTTATGTTAAAAGTAATTGCTCATTAACTATGTCGTAAGTCACTTAGCCTAGAAGAAAAGACTTCTTTACTCTTAGTAGTGCCACTGTTGAGATACAGTAAAAATAATAAAAAGCAGCAAAAAAGAAAAATCAGTGGTGATAAGGTGAGTATAAAACATAAAAAATAGTATTTTTTGGCTTTATCTTATGGCTAACTACATTTCACTCAGAATTTACTTGTAAATATATGTGATCAGTAACTTGGCCGTGACTTAGAATGTCAATTTTAAAGCTATTTTTTCAAAATCTTTTTTTTTTTTGCTTACATATATCATTATTTCTCAGCGCTTGCATACTTTTTATTTTGGCAGTAAGCATATGTATATATTTATTAATGTCTGGCAAATAAAAAGGAAAAATTGTATAACAAGAGAAAAGTAAGTAAGTAAAAAACTAACGTTCTTCAATAACTATGATTAATGAAAAATTGGTGACAAGACTGAAAATGAATCAAAGTGTCCATAAATATTAAAACCCTAAGCACATGAATTACATAGATCTTTCAACATTTAGAAAACTGATGACAAAAAAATTATAAAAATTTTTAAACAGTTAAGAGAGAACTAGATGATAATAAAAATATTCTGAAAATATTGCACAGGGTTTCTACAATATAAGATTGATTTCTGAGGTTAAAAAAAGGAAAGAAAAAACCACTGGTGAGACGGGGCTCACCTCAAAAATGTCTTGGACTCTTTGGGTGGCAGTGGCTGTGGAAGTGGTTTGCTGCTGTTGAATGCAACATCGTGGACTGGAGAATTGGGAATGGGGTCCAGGCGGTTAGGATGTCCATTGCCCACTCCGCCAGATTCCAGAGCACTTAGATTGGGAACACTCACAAACCTGTTTGTTGGTGATTTATCATTCTTCTTCTTTTGCTGCATAAAAATAATATATGTGAGGACAGTCACTGCATTAGGACAAGTGAGAAAATAGGAATAGTAAAGATGCAAATTTGGCATGGGAAAATTTTGGAAGCTTTGTGTTAAATTAGGATGTTAAAATTAACCAGTGTTCACCAAAGTGTGGTCTGGGGATCCTTGGAGGTGTTATCTACATGGAATCCTCAGAGAGGAGCAACACTGGGGGGATCTCCTCTTTAGTCCCCTATGAGCCTCTCTCTGTGCCATTAAGGGAGGAGAGGAGGTGACAGGACTTCCAAGGGGCAAACAGGACCCAAAGGACTAAGGGACAGAGGGGAAGGAGTGGTCCTGCAGATACCAGGAGGTTGAACTGATACAGGCTAAAAGGAGTAGGAGGAGGAAAGTTAATCACAATTTTAAAAGAGAGCTCCATGAACTTTAGTCATCTGTCAGAGGGAGGCGGTTCTTGCCTGGAAAGAAAGGAATGAGAAATGCTTGGCAGTGTAGCTTGAGACATCTCACATTTCTACTTCAGACCTAAAGCTGACCTAGAGAAATACTTTGATCTTCCTTCTGTGACCTCTTTCTGAATAGAGACTATTAAATCTGTATAATTGCCATTATCAATTAATTGGCACCATCAATTGGCTCACTTTAAAAAGTTAAGGAATATAAAACAAGTTATCAAAAATTCTAAAAAGGTTTTAATAAGTCTTTAAGGGACAAAAAAGGAATACAACTACAAATTGTCAAAATCTATCAATCTGCAAAATCACTGACTTTAATCTCTATTTATACCTCTAGAATCAATGAGCATCACACCTTGTTACGCACAGTAAAAATGTCATTCATAATTCAGACTATTCTCGTATTTTGCTGGTTATATGTATATTTACATATATAATTTTTTTGGCAGAATAACTGCAGTTTTAAAAAAATCAATACAGAGGATAACATTTTTCCTTGACATATAATTACCTCACTATCTAGACATTTTCCTCTGTGCCCTACTGTGATTCAGTCTCTGGCCAGGATCCTATTTTAGCCTGTCTGGCTACAGAAAAGAAGAACAACACCTTCTTCAGAACTGTGTCTGAGAACTGCAACCACCAGGAAGAGTCAAAAGTGGCTGGGAAGTTCTTACAAAGCTGTACCGTCTGCATTTTCTCATCCTAGTCACCAGAGGAAATAATTAAGTGTACTTAAGTTTTCTATTTTAAGAAATCAAAAGTATAATTGGTAAAGTTCTATAGTAATGGCTGAAAAATTTAATTCCAACAAAATAATAAAAATTATTTCTAATATATCTTATTTTCCCAAGTCTCATAATCTTTATAATTAAAAGTTTATGTCACTTTACACTACCAATTTAAGAACTAAAATGAATTCTATTCATTCACCAATTATTTATAGAGAGATTTCTGTGTGACAGGCAGTGTGTTAAGGTCTACAGGTACAAGAGCCTGCGTCTGTTATTCTTTACCAACATCTTCAATAAAACATTCACGTTCAAACTTTGGAGCACTTTAACTTCTGAAGGAAGAATAGTTGCAGTGTTCTTTTAGGGTTTTATGAACTTGGAAAGCAAAAGTTCTGGGTAATGATGTGAAACAATCTCAATGTAAAAACAACTTTAAGATGAGCACTCTTATGTATTCTACTATTTCTTCCAAAAGACTCATAATCCCCGTGAAACCACTATATACATTTATTTATTACTTGCTTTATTGACAGACTAATTTTGTAGTGACTTATAGAAAATGGGTTGAAATTTTGCAGCTAAATAAATATTTATGGACTACACACTACTCAAAGCAGCATGATCACTGGGAAGCAAGGTAGAGAGGTGTAAGATTAACCACATCCACCCACAGCTCTTCCCAGTTCTTGGAGAGTCACATGGTGTCAGAGTGAGCTACACTTAATCTTAGACGTCAGCCTGAGAAGTTGGGCCCTTTCTCAGCACTTCCAGGCAACACAGCACGTCTGCCTTGCTCCTGCAGGACGATGGCCTTCATCTAGGAGCAGCTGCTGGGCATCTGAACTGGAGACTTTCTGGCCCCAGAGGACTGGATCAGAAAGGAAGTGGCACAGAGTCCACTGAAGGAGAGCTAGAGGTTTAGCTTTCTTCAGGAATATGAAAAACAATAGAACTAAGGTTTTCTAATATTAATATTTAAGGCATACATATTATCAATAAATGAAATAATCTCATTTAAACAAAAGAACTCCAAAATTTTATTGCTAGATAGTCAAATATTTGGGGAGCTTATCCTATAGTGCTGCACATAATTTACTAAATTTTAAATTAAATCCCTATTTTACAGTGTCTACAACACATACCTTGGCCAGTGGATTAAGGACACCAACAGAAGGACTTGAGTTAAACACTTTGTTGAAGTTAGTTTCTCGATTGATTAATTCCAGTTGATAAAATTTATTATCCTCCTATCAAAAAGAATTACAAACATTTTTTCAGCACTTTCTACCAAACACAGACTTACTTGTATAAGTGCTATTTTATTCAAACTAATATAATACTGGTAAGAAGACTTCTCTACCTTGTTCAAAGATTTCTGGACCTTATTGCTGGTGTCTATGGGTTGCTGAAGGGTAGGCAGGTTTCTAGCACTTGGTAAACCTTTTGCCTAGGTACTCGACTTCACCCACTAATACTTGTCCTACAAGCCTGGACCTATGTTTCCTTTGGTCCCAGCTCTGCCTCATAGGGCAGACTATGGAATTGCAACTGGTCTAACTGGCACGCTGTTAGCTGTGTACATGGCTGGGTTGTTCCCATTTATGAAGATGACACTGTGATACATTATAGTGCTTCAGTCCTTGGAAACAGATTTCATCTCACCTCATCTCTTCTTTGATACATTACTGTATTTTAGCAACAGTACCAGGGAAAACACCAGTGGCCCCAATAGTGATAAAACCTTTGGCTTAGTGAAGAGCCAGACTGGGAAGGCTCTACGCGGACAGAGCAGGGCGGGGTGCAGATGCAGGGGTCCTGGGTTCTGGTGGACTCCAGCACCACAAGACTCTTCACTAGCCCTCTGTTACCACTGACATCGAAGTCCTCAGGGTCCGTGGAATGAGGGTGTTGCAGAGTGAGTGGATGGACCTGGACCTGGCACTACTGGCCATGCACCTCTGGAAGGATACTTTATTCTCTGGAGTCTCAGGCCTGCCCGCCCTGTGGTAAGGATGAGATGCAGTCATATCCTTAAGCCTCCTCAGTGAGAGCTGGGCAATCCACAGCCATCTCTACAGGCTGCGGGGGAAGGGCACGTGTGAGGCGTGCTCACTCCTGTGTGCACTGAACAGTGCCGCCGCGCGGGCCCCTGCTGCTGGGGAGCGTGGTCTCTGGGGCCTGTGCTTCTTGGTTGGGAAACTGGGTGGCTGGGGACAGAAGCCGTGTGACCCACACTCTCTCCAGAGCCTTCCCTGGGTTCCACTGGGCACCTTAATCTAACCCTGCTGCTTGTGGCAGAATTTCTAGTTCCCTCAAAACAGACTAAAGAAAACTTTAAGGAACTTGAGAAATAAATGTTGCTCTTAATGCTTTATTTGCATGGTGATATCCCAAGTTTTCAGTTGGGGTGATGAATAAATACATAGAATGATTAGTGCTCTATTTCTAGTTTTACTCTGAATATTTTCATTCAGTAGTGGCAGAAAAAGCAACACTTTAATTACTCACCAGTACTTATCATTTTAGAAGACTTGAAATGCTTTGAATTTTAAAACATTCATTTTTTTATTCTTAAGGAAAAATGGCTTAATGAAGGTAGCCTACTTATGGTTAAACCTGCATTCTCACTTGTGGTTAAATCTGACAGACTTCTCAGAGCCCCTCTCAGAACATCCCAGGGTTCCTGCCTGCCCCCCTCGAGGCTGGAGAGCACTCGTGTAGAAGGCGGTTGGGAAATGAATGTGATTAAACAGGAAGTGCAGGCTGCAGGCCGCTGCACACGCGTGTCTGCTGCTTTCCCCTCGCCGGCCCCCTCTCTGCGTGGGCAACACTCACTCACACGGTTCAACAGGGTATCAGCTGCTCAGTGCCGAGGACACAGAGTAAGTACTCTGCGTGTGCGCCGGAAGGATTTTTTAAAGGATACTGAAGAAAAAGGCACATTTCCCTTCTCCTAACGTCAGATTTAAATTTTAACAATTATACTTCTTATCCTCATTTATGAACATTTTAGTAATCTTTCACTCACAATCCACATATTTGATACTATTTGCATTTGGGGTTACTTAAATATTTTCCTGTGTTTTCCCAATCAACCATCTATTAACTATTAACATGGTTATATCAAAACCAAAATATCTTACGATTAGTTTCTTTATGACCTGGTCTCTTTCTGTAAGCATGGCTTTTAATTCTGCAATCATCTGCATATCTTCCGGTTTTGATTCTCTCTTTAGATATTTTTCTTCCATTTCTTCTAGTCTGAAAGCAAGAAAACCTTCAGCTTATTGATATGACTCAGACACATTCTTCTGTAACATCTACGTTTTCCAATTCACCCCGTTAAATGTGCACAATTTAAAAGAGGCTGTTTTCTCCCCTTAAAAGTCTTACACACAGGGACATGCTGGCCGGGGCGGAGTGTGATGCTCGCCTCTGTGGGCTCTGCAGCATGGAGTGTCGGGTGCGCCCTGCGGGAGCCGCTCAGGCAGGTACAGTGAGCGCGCAGGACGGTGCTGGCCCACACACGGGCTGTTAGGAGCGGCCGTGGACACTGCCATGTGAGGACACAGGCTTGGTACACAGAAAAGGGACAAGGAAAGACAGGAAAGGGGAGGAAAGACACAGGTAGGACACCATTCTTTCCAGTCTCCTGGGATATGGAGTTGAACATTTCTGTATCATCAGCCACACTGCAAAGAGGCTCACCGGGGTAGGAAGTACCACCCATCCCCACGGCCTACGCTTCCCTGCGTGAGGGACCGAATGCCACTGACGTCTAAAGCCGACGAGACTCTAGGACCCCTGGCAGTCAGAACAGGGCAGAGTGGAAAGGCAGACAGAAGCTGCCGGCTTGGTTTAGGAAAAAAACTTTACCGTTTTAAAAAATGTAAATAATAAGAACAAGTACAACGTGTATTATTTTCAGAATATAAAGGACAGCATTTAAGCGCAATAAAATTATGATTGATGAGGATTCATTTAAAAAAGTATCCATTCAATAAACACTGAGTCACTTCATGATGACCTGCTTTCTAAAGTGGCACACCCCTGTCTCTGCCCCCCAGACCCCAGAAGGTCCTGGACACTCTCTGCCTTTTAGAGACTTTATAAAAGCCCTCCACTCACTGTGCCCAAGCTGGAGATTTGCAGAGAGCCTCTCTGGCTCCCCACAGAGCCCCACTGAAGATCCAACCCACTGTGGGCAGCCCAGGGTGGCAGAAGTGTGGGCTGAGGAAGCAGCTGCCTCGGGATCTGCAGAACTTCGTTTCCTGACCGTTACTTTTGCTCTTTAGTGACAGTGCAGGCTAAGTGAGAAATAATGTGCAGCTGTGAGCTCACACAAAGCGAACCTGCACTTTATCACCACGTGGATGGGTTTATTCTACTTTTAGGGGCACGGTTTTAAGAAGGCTGCAAAGCATCCCTAGTCCAGGAGAGGGCATCTGGCTTAAGTTCCAGCGGCCAAGAGACGCCACTAAAGAACTATACTTTCTTTACCATTACAAGCGAAGTGGAAGGTTTCTGAGTTGCTTCTTGCAGCTGAGCAAGAATAGGTGGCGTAAGTGGTAGCCAAAAACTAAATGTAAAGCCTTATTTCAAACTATTATTTCTTGTTCTAGTACAGGAAGTAAAGATCAAGTGAGTCTAAAACAATGACTTCAGTTTCTGGAAGGCCTTTATTCTGCCTTAAATGCAAGTTCCAATGTCTTTTTATTTAGCATAAGCATTCTTTACCTACAGAATTATTTTCAGTTAATCCTCAGCACAAAATATCTTTACACTACCAATTTAATAAAAAAGAGAAAAACTAAGAAACATTTTATAAATATAAATAGGAAAGCATTAAAGGAGAAAACAAGTAATATGACACAGACTTTGCAAGTATACCTGGAAGATTACTAGTCTTTCAGAGTCTCAGGGTAAGAAAACTTGGAGCTACTCCAAGGCCCACGCAGGCCGACACTAGTTAGCATTTCCCTTCCCTCAGCCACCCAGGCAGGAACCAGCTGGAGAGACCACGCCCGCCTCTGAGACCAGGTAAGCAGATGCACCTAGGTCTTCCTCGTCAGTCCTCCCGATCACAGGCGGGAGTGAGTCCGTGGCTGTGTAACATACACCTGCCATCCCATCTCACACACACAGTGCCAGCTAGAGCCCAGCAACTGGTTTTATTGTCATAGAAGTTATAGCCACCCTACTATAGCTCAGCTGCTACTCAGAGTAAGGAAGAAAATATTTCCAATTGTCATATTTTTACTGCAGTGATAGCAACCTTTCCTATCTTTTAAAGTACAAATGAGTCTATTAAAACTATTAAGAATACTATTATAGGCAGCCAGAAACAACCAAATACCCAGAGTTCGTATCTGGATGATTCAGCCTGGGAATCACACGAGGGAACCACACGAGTGCACATAGCCTTTTACTCAAAATATGTATTCCTATCGAGGGTCATATGAAGACAGAATAAAGAGGAGAAGCAGAACACATAAAGGGTCCCTGCTGCACTCTCGCCAGACGTCCATTACCCCAGCCTTCTGTGGTCTGAAAATGCATAGGTCACTGTCTGCAGTTCATGAAGACAGATCTAAACCATGAATGTCTGAAAAACTATAGAACTGCAGTTTTCCAAGTGGTGAACCTTCCCGGTTGTTTTGTAAAATAAGCAAATAAAAAACTGACCAAAAAAATCAGTGAGTTGAGGTATTAGCGCCAAACAACTGTACTAGACACACGTGAGCTTTAGAACTAAAGCGTAATGACGACGAAGGGGCATGGACGTGGGATTTTCCTGTAAACCTGTAGCATGGACTCTGAGTTGTAACAACAGAACTACAATCTCTTTCCCCCCAAATTTATGAAAATTGCCTGCGTGGCAATTAAAAGTCAAACAACAATAATGACAGTTCTTGGGGTATCATGGATAGAGCCAATCCTTTAAGAGTAAGGAATTCTGATGTGGTAGAGGGCTTTTGAGTTCAAGATTATAAACCTATTTAAAGTTCACGTAAGGAATCAGAATTTTCCCCTTGAAGAAATAATCTCTTTGTTCCACTCCAGTGGTAAATTAATGGAAGGTAAGCCCAGGCAATCAGTAATAACCTCTGAATCACTGTGTAATACAGATGTGTAAATGTGTCATGAACCCAAGCTCTAGAGTGTTTCCATTTAGGTTCCACTTAGATACAGTCAAGTAGCCAGTTCTCCCATTTGTTTTGGAAACAAACAGAAACCACGGCATTTCTATTAGAGAGAAGGTCATTTACTGAGGCAAAATTTCTACAGAACGGTCTGGAAATCTAGAAGGGCTTTTGGCACCAGCTTTGGCCAGGAGGATTCCTAAGGCTCGTCCCCCTGTGTAGGACAGGTCAGATGCACTGCCCCTCCAGAACGGTGCAGCTGCAGAAGGAAGGCTGCAGGGGCTTGGTCCTCAGCTCAAGCTCAGGCCCAGCAGGTGGAGCCCTGGTCCTCAGTCCCTCTGCCAACTCCACAGAGAAGCCAGCGAGCGTTTTCTGACTGTGAAGCTTTAAGGCCAGCTTGTTGTACCAAAAACCCAGTCCTCTGAAACAGGCTGGGAGTGGCTGGGATGCTAAAACGGACTCTCCAGCTCCCCACCTCTGCCTCGATCCCAGTCTCTCTGCAGCTTGGGCAGGCTGACTTAGAGACATGCGCCACCCTCAGTGAGAGGAGATGAGGCTCGCTCCTCGGGCACAGCAGCTCCTGTCGGAATGCTTGGGAGCCGGCTGCGGCTGAGAGCCGCTCTGCTGGACAGAGCACACCCAGAGCACTCTCACTGCCTCAGAAAATGCTGCTCAGAAAGAAATGGTCTTAAAGAAAAGAGTGACCTAAAACTGGAGGCTGATCTATCACCACAACAGGTTTCTGATGAAAAAAGAAACAGGTTGTTTAACACGGACCCCAGGCAAAGTATAAAATGAATGATAGGTATAGGAGAGGAGGTGAAATATCTTATCAGTAACACGAACTTATTGGTTATTAGAAGATCACAATATAGAAAAACTAAACATCACTTACTGTCTACTAAAAATTCATAATGTGCAAAATGAAGAGAAACAGAATGAAAGTAAAAATAGACACAATCTTTTCTTTCGGCAAACTAACATTCCTGAGGAGACAAGACAAGGTGACAGACCGAGGTTGTTCATTTGCAAGCCCACTCCGGAGTGTGAAGAGGGTGCAGGATTTCCGCCTCTGCCTAGGAGTACTGAGGCGGGGGAAGTGACACCAGGTGCTGGGGTCTATAGACTGCATTTCTGCACATGCAAATGCAAATGCATGAGGTTCTAAGCCCTTCTGCAGGGAGGTACCTGAGCTTGTACTGTAGCTCAGAAGCATGTACCGATCCCTCCAAGAACAGCAAACATCAAGCTCCCTGTGATCAGGAAAGTGGAGCACAAGTCTCCATGGCAGGGGCTGCTTCACAGAGTGCTCAGTGTGACAGAGAACCCTCATAAAACTCGTTCACGACACGCTCAGCACCAGGCGGTGGGGAGAGCCTGCGCCTCCATCCGCAAAAGCAGCCCAGCCTGGAGGACACCTGAGCAAATGCCAGTGACGCACAGTCTGGTTCCTATTTTCCCTGCTTGAGACAGAGACAGAAACAGAGACAGAGGTAGAGAGAAAGAGAGAAAGACAGAGAAAGAGAGCCTGTGTGTTTGCACCTGCACCCACATACACAACAACATCCACTCAGACCAAAAGGGCGACATGGAGGAACTGAGAGAGCACGACTTCTACATTCAAGGAAGGCAATCTCTAACAACACAGGAGGCAGGAGGAGGCCCACTGGAGAGGAGAGTTTAGGTCTGACATCAGGGTCGTGGACTGGACGTTAACTGTGACTTTACAGGAGCACGCGGACAGCCGACTGGAAGGGAAGAGACGAAAGGTGCCCCTTAGTACACACTAAGGCGAATTAACCTGGAGCAGGGTTTAGACCAGAGATGGACTGAACGCAAATTCCTGTGGCAATAACATTTTGTGAGTATTCGGGCAAGAGAGAGCTATTAAATATTTTTCAGGAATACTAAATATTAATTAGAAATTTTGATTTGAACAATGTTGGAGTTACTATATATGAGTAATAACTTTAATTGTAATAATTTCCCATTATTGATTTTAAGATCATAAAACAAATGCTTGTTGTGGGAATTCAAGCAGTGCCTAAGTATACAGAATAAAGCCTTTGTTCTTTCCCATCCCCCAATACCTCCTAGTCCACTCCCTAAAGGGAACTTCTATCATCTGTATTGTTTTTTTAGGACATTTTGATATTTCTGTAAAGTATGTATTATTCATACAGCATGTATTGTAACATTTCTGTTGCTCACGACATGCTCTTTTTACTTAACACTAGAGAGTGGACATCTTCTGAGGTGTCACTGCGCCGGACCGTACCACAAGGGACATTCTGAGAACTATTAGAACTGCTGTAGTAGTAGCTGATGAAATATAATCAATCCTTCAACTGCCTGATCCCAATGAATGAACACATCACACTGCAATTAGCACCTTCAATTTCTTTTTAAACATCATTTGTAGTGGATTCAAAACTAGTTAATTTGAGTTTAGACCAGTGCTCCTTAGTTTATTATCCACATATGAATTTTCTTTAACATAACATGACTTACGACACTTGTAAAGCTGCATTTATTTCCTTGAGGAGCTCATTAGTCTTATTAAAATCTGCCCGCATGATATTTTTCTCTCTGAGGTGGTCTGCTGTCATGACATCCAGCTCTTTTTCAAGTCTCTTGTTTAAATCTTGTTCATGCAACCTGTTTAATTTATTTTTAGTTAAGAAAATGTTATTCTGAAGTCAAGTTTTCAAAATTTTCTATATTTTACCAGATTTGAAATGCTCTTTTAATGTATGGAAAACTAATGTAAATGGCCTAAATTAAGCTACTTACACTTTTCTATAATCTTCTAGCTTAAATTTAAGTTGTCTCCTTTAATGCTTTGTCTCATAACACTTTCAAAAGACTTAAATCATGTACGGTTTCTAAAGCTAATAAATACATACACATCATTCAAAATACGAACATTCTGTCTATGTCCTGGATTACAACGCGATCAACAAATAAAGCAGAAAATGACCTCCACTATCTGACTAGGAGGGCAGTGTGGTCACAGAGCAGGCACGCAGGGTAAAGCCCTCTACAACAGTCCTTCCGAGAACTGCACCTGCCCCTGCCGCCAGGTCGGCGTACCTCATCTGTTGGTTGGATTCACTTCGTATCTTCAGGATCTCTTTCTCCCTGAACTCCAGCTCTGTGGTGAGGGCGCTGATGTTCTCACGAAGGTGCTGTAGCTCCTTGTCCAGGTCACAAATGTGGTGCTCTCTGAGACGTAACTCCTCTTGCAGATCTGTTATCCTGCACATATGCTCTTTACTCTGTAAAAACAAGTAAGTTTCTACACCCTGGCTTCCTTTATCATCTGAGGGAAAAGAGGACAACATCCGGGAGAGTCAAATGCAATGCTGCCGGCCCTGCTGCAAAAGCATACTACCTGTTTTCTTCCCAAGCACCTGAGGAACACTTACATGGATATAGTTTAAAATAATGTCAGGGCTGCAAAGGGCCCAAAAGATCAGAAAAGCACAGCTCCTTCATTTTACAGATGGAGAACCCACACCTGAGTGCTGACATGCCCAGGATCCCCTGTACTCAGTGGCATGCTGAGACCAGCCTCCTCTTAGTACTGTTAGTGCCCCGCCATCCTGTGGTAGGTGCTGGGCCTGCTGGCCTCTACCCCACAAGGATCTGGGCCACACCCATGTTTCCCAGGGTTCTGCCTGCCTAGTGCTAGACCAGCAGTGACCCTGCAGATAAGTCCCCTTCCATCTTCCTAAGAAGACTGTTTAGTCTTCTGTTTCCACAAGTTCTGTAGTCCACACACTGCTGCTGGCTTCAGTGTCAACCTAGCTGACTGAACAGACCTTTCTTCCTGCCACATGAACCACCAGTGGTACGGGCACAACTGTCCCACTGGGGAGCATGTACCCAGTGGCACAAACAGATCTAATCACTTTCATCAGCCTCTGTACTAATGAAGTACTAATAAAATTAATCAAAAGTCTATACATGGACCAAATCTAGTCCATGAATCTGAATAATTACTGCCTGAATATAAATTAGTAGTATTCATACCAATTCAACATTATCACAATAATCAATAAAGTTATTTCATTAAATTAAAAGAAATGTATTTACAATCATGGATAGTTTATCAACATGGAAATCTTACAAGTATGTACTGCTGTATCTATGTGTATATAGAGTACACATTTACAACTGCTATACCACAAACTAGCTATATTACAACTTTATACCATTTTAATGTTTTCCTTAAGCAGCTGTAAGATGATGATATCTGAACCGATAAATCAACGCCTTTCTTTGCATTACTGTAAGCAAAGACCCCTGAGAACTGGTTCAAGAAAGACTGAATTCAAACCAGAGCTGCTTGGCAGCAAGACATACAAAATGCCTCACTGTGAACAGAAAGCTTGATAGAAATGAGAAGAAAACTGCTCTGATCATTTAACACAGGCAAAGACTACAAAGTCAAGTTTGAGGTCTAGTAAACTAATGGCTTTCATTGCATGATGCCTAAAAATCCATCCTTCCAGATGTACACACTTTCAAGATCACAAACTAAACAAAGGAAAATATACTGAGCCAAAGAGCAAGGTTTTAAAAGTCCAAACAGTTGTGTTAGAATGCAACAGAAATGTAAGTTACCTTGTTCCTCCTTGCGGGGTCTACTACTTCTCCCCCTATGCTATGCCAAGTGCTTGTTTGAGCTCGCATTTAAATTCTCTAAAATTAAACAAAGCTGACGACGCTCTCCTCGGCTGCACTGAGCACACCTGGTGCACATGGCTGGCAGCTGGTGGAGTGCACGGCCCGGAGACAGACGAGCACCTCAGCGCCAGGTGGCCCAGAAGGCCACAGCTGTCTGCACGCTGCACACTGTCAGCATCTTCCTTCACAAGGTGCAAATTTAAAAAGTCACGGGTCACAAATGTGGCTTCGTGACTAGTGTACTAAAGCAGAATTACCTATTTCCGTGGAAAAATAAAACTTTGCTACATGGTAGATAACAGCTATTGGAAACAGCAGCCGTAAGTAATTCTCAGCACACACAAGCGTTTGGCTACCGCGACTACCTGTCTCCTGCCGACGTCCACGCTCCTCTCTAACTCCATCCTGGCGGCTGCCAGCTCCTGCTGGTGGTTGTGGCACAACAAGTCAACAGCAGCTGCGTGCTGCTGGTTCAGTTCTGAGCGTAAGGAAGCTGGAATGCAGAGGAAAAGGGTAGCAAATTTGACAAATATTAACAATATGCAAAATTATAAAAGTCACAGAATAACGTTAAAATTGGGACATTTGTATATGTCCATTAAATTATTACCAGACTATTACACACTATCATGAATTGGTATATAGACTATCACACACTTTCATGAATTTCAGGGTCACCTAGCTTTGATAAAGATACAAAACTCATCAAGTGCTGAAGGGATCAAGGTATGGTTATAAACAAAGTGCTAATGGAGATGAAATGCAATTAGTTCTTCTCTTCACTATTACAAGAATAAAATCTTAGAGATGAATGTCATATTAACAAATGTTGAGGAGGCAACTTCCCATCCAAGTAAAAATTTTCCACAACATCCTGGAATTTGCTGACACTGGCTGGTAAGTGTCATTCCAGCTGAGTCTGGAATTGGTTGTTTCACACACGCCATGACCATTTATGGGATGCAAGGCATGATTCTAAAGGAGACTGAACAATGAACTTGTCCTTGTAACTCCACCTGCTAGAGTGCAGTATACCATGCAAAGACAACTGGACTACAGGAAGATGCTAAACTCACGTTTTTAAACCCCTAGTGTAAGGTGGAATGTCTAACATGCAGTAAGGAACATAAATCTAATTACAGGAAGAAAGAGTTGGTCTAGAAACACATATTTGGAATCTCCAGCACATCGGAGGTAACTGAAGCCAAGGATGTGGATCCAATCAACAAGGAAGACGCTAAGGGCTAAAACAGACCAGAGGAGGGGCAGGGCCCCGGGAGACGGCAGTCCCTAGTGGACGCCTGTGGAGCAGGACTGGGAATGAGAAGAAGGGGTAGAGGACGGCAGGGGACAGGGAGGACACGCGCTGTCAGGAGACGTGGAAGGCGGCTGGGCAGTGGGGCTGGGTGTCCCTCCCGTGCGCACAGTTTGGATCTGCAATTCCAACGTTAACGGTGACCCCTGGGAAAGGAGTTCCCGGGGAACAGGGCGTCAAGGCAGAGACCTCAGGGGTCCTGGCAATCTGCACGACTGCTCCAACTCAACAGTTCAGCAGTTCAGTGAGAAGAGAAAGCCCACAGATGGCAAATGCTTAACAGCACGAGCTGCCAGGGGGCCGCCAATTAGAACTACACCGGAAAGAGCACTGCGCTCCTGAGCTCGGCTCAGATCCCGTGACACATCCCAGGCTGCTGAGGACGGGAGGGGCTGGGCCAGCCACACAGTGCTAGCGGGGACACAAAAGGCTGCAGCCACCCAGGTTGGCAGCTTCTGAGGAACCTGAAATTAACCACCACCTGAGCAAGCGACCGCGCTCCTGGGCCATGCTCCCAGACATGAAAACCCAGGTTCACACAAAAACTTCCCACATGTTCAGAGCAGCTTCATCTGTAATGGCCCAAATGAAAACCCAGACGACCTTCGATGGGTAAAGGACAAGAAACTGGAAGCCAAGTGAAGACCATGGACTGTCACTCGGCAGTAGCAAGGAGCACAGCGCTGGTGCACCGGACGACGAGTGGACTCCACGGAATGACACTGGCTAGACACCCAGTCTCTACGGGTTAGATTGGTATGGCTTCATTTATAAGGTCAGCAGCAATGCTGAAAGGGCCAAATTATAGACAGTGAAAAACAGATTAGTGGTTGGCAGGAGTTACAGGTGGAAACAAGGGACGTGGACGTGGCTATAAAGGGCTAAGAGGGATCTCCAGGACGATGGAACCACTGCCGTGACAGGGTCCATGTGGACAGGCTGTGACAGTGCTCAGCAGGAGGCTCCCACGGGGCAAGCTCTGTGAAGGGCACAGGGAACCTGCACTATTTCTTAAAACTGCATGTGAATCTACAATTACCATAAAGTAATACAGAGCTGTTAAAAATCCAGAACAGTTCGTGTGTCAACGCAGAGGAGCTTACATCACGTTTCCACGGACTAAAGCACCACGGTTCCAGGGCCCAGCCTCGTCCTTCTGCCCTCACAGCGGTGGGGAGTGTTTCTCTCCAGCCCTAACTCGGCCAGGCCCCTCTGCCCAACATCAGCCCCGTGTAGGCGCAGAGCCGCTGCCCCGCCTCCACCGCTCGGCCCAGCCATCTCCGGCACGTACCCGGGCACGGGGCAGGTCGCTGCCTGTGACTTTCACGCTGCCTGCCGGGGGCTTTCCCAGGAGGGAGACCACCACGGCGACTTGGCCCGGAGCGCTTGGCCACAGCAGGGGTCAAGATCAGTGTCAAGTGGCTTTCTTTTCCTTTGAAGCTCAAAATATTCAGCCTCTGTCCCCAACTCCTCAGAAAGAGTACACTCAATCATGACAAACACGAAAGGTATTAGGAGAATTTGGAATGAAACCAAACTGGAGGACAGGAGTCAAACCCAAGCCTTTTAATACCTGCCTAGTTATTCTTCAAAACTCAATTTATCTGCTTATAAAAAGGACCATCTCCTGAAAAATTCCACACAACATATTCAACAACAAAAAGGTAGAATTAATCATGATTTTTCTTTACCACAATAAAAGCCCTGGTGGCAAAGGCAAGGTGACCACACAGCCTACGGACTGTGAGGCAATGTCCCCACTGCGCTGGTCCATGAGGACAGATGAAGCGTCAGTGGGGGCCGCTTCCATGGTGGAGCAGAGACAACACAAGCGCCTGGAGTCCACCACTCTCCGCCGGCCCTCCCTTCTCAACATGGTGGCTTCACACACAACACACTACATGCTGTGGATTCACCTGACAGCTCAGTGTGTAAAGACCCAACTGTGACCTGACGTCGAGTTTTAAAGAGTAGAATGAACAGACAAATAGCAAGGCGACAGCCCTTCCTGAATACCAAGCATGGCCTTCCCCTCGTCTTCCAGCTCAAAGCGCAGGGTCTGCAGCTCCTGTTCCATCTCTGCCCGGAAGCCCTCCATGGACTCGCGGTGTGCATCCTTCAGGGCCTGCAGCTCTGCAGAGTGCTTCTGCTGCAAGTGGGTTTCGAGGGCCTGCACAGGAAACAAAGGCTCAGTGCTCCACCAGATCACAGGAGCGAAATATAAACAAGGCAGTGCAGATTCCAAAACACATCCAAAAGTTCATTGTCAAGAAAATTAGATACAAGGTAATCACCATCAGAAGACAAGCTAGTAGTTAGCTCAGTAGACTAAATCAATCACCTCAAGAAGTCTGACTATTTATATTTATTTTGCAGTACTGGGTTAAACCCATGGCCTTAGCACTGACTTCATTCCCCAGCCCTTTTTTATTTTGTATTTTGAGACAGAGTCTTAGGTCTCACTGAGTTGCTAAATTGACTGATCTTCCTGCCTCAGCCTCCTAGAGTACTGGGACTTCAGGTGACTCAATATATTTTGTTTGAATTAGAAATACAAACCCTTTACTTAAGTCAGTTATCAAATCAAATCATTTTCTAAAGCTTAAAACTACTGAAAAATTCCTTTCTGCCCATACTTAAGTGAGAGGTAGAGGAGGAGGGCACCACCAGGCACAGGTCCTTTGCTGAGGAAGAGCCAGAGGGCTTTATGTTTGATGCGATACTTACAGAATCTTGCGTGGCTGCTGTCTGTGCCAACTCTTTGCTCCTCTATTGGAGCGAGGAAGCAAAAGCTCTGAGAGGAGATGGCTGAAAAGTAAACTAAAGGCTTTCAATGATTTGCTTTAAAAACATAGCACAGACTAAGAGAACGCATGGCTGAGGCCGGGGGCACAGCTCAGAGCCTTCTAGGCGGACAGACTGTGCCGGGAAAGGTGGTTTGCTCGTTCATCATGGTCTGCAGCATAAAATGTTTCTGAGAAAGACGTCATCTTGTAATCAGGGTTGCACTTCTTTAATCATTATCCTAAAATGCTTTGTGAAAAAAACAGTATTTGGCTACTTAAGCTCACTGCTTTCAGTGCGTTTTACTTCTGAAAAGAAGGCACTGTCTCCTCCAGGACAGGCGAGACAATGCTGCATGGCAGGCTGGCTACCTAACGACGGCACAGGGAGACCACAGGCTCTGATTCCCTCTGAAAACGACCCACGTTAAATGATAAAGGACTGAACGTGCACACTTAAGGTACGGACACAAGAGCACCTGTGTTATTCAAGTTCATAAATTTTATCCAGTGAACAGGTTGTTTCTAATCAGGCCAAATTTTTAACCCAAGGAACTTCCCTGGCTTTCTAGACAAGATCCCCAGACTACAACTTACTGTGTTAGCAAGGAAACTATTTTTTAAATATGACTTTTTTGTTTTAATGATTTCTTTAAAACATGTCATTTCTTAAAAATACTACCTGCGCCCAAGTAAAAGGCTGAACAACAAGCTATATCAGTAGCCGCTATTACAGGGAAATTAATGTCATCTAGCGAATCTTCTTCCTATTTATAATAAGGTTCTTGGAATAAGTTGAGAAAGATAGTGTTAAAAAATTCATTAAATCAAAATAAATCACACCAAGACATCAAACTCACATTTTAATGGAGAACCGTAACTGACATGTGAGGAGCCTGTCATGTAATACGATTCATGCAGTAATACATCTATGTCATTTAAATCCCTGCAACTGAACTCTGGTGCTACTACTCGTATAAGGAAATAAGACTATGTAAAAATGTCTCCAACTCATTTCATTATGAACTTTTTTGTACAGAGGGAAATAGAAAGAATGTAAAAGGAAAACTCTAGGATTAAAAAACACAAGTACCTTAGATATATTTCTTTTTTTTGTTTTTAAGAGTTCGAGTGAAAGACAAATTAAAATTTGGGTGGAAGCCTAAATAACCCTAACTGACCAGAATGATTGCAGTTTACTAGTAGGACCATGCTAAAAGATTTAAATTAACCACCAGTGACCATCAATATGTCATGGCGCTCTGACCAGAGACACAGCACGGCGCAGCCGGGCTCCTCCGCTGCACTGTGAGTACTGTGCACCTCTAACCCCTACGCCCCTGCAGGAGGCCACGTCCTGGAGAGCCCACTCGCACATACCCCGTATCCTGGGACACTTACCCTCTGTTCCTTTTCCTTTTCCTCCTCCATGGTCTGAAATGCAAGGACGTGTGCTTCTTTCAAGGATTTGTGTCTTTGCTGGTGTTGTTCCTCTAGTTCCTCAAGCTCCTGTGTAAGCCGCTGGCGTTCCTGGGTAAACTGGGCTTGCAGGTGCTGCAAGGAAGTCTGAGACTGGGACAGCTGCATCTCCAGATTTTGCTTCAGCAGGGAAATCTACACAGCAGAGCGGCACACAGTGAAGAATGAACACACGGCGTGGTTCGCAAACTGAACCCTAAGGGGGAGACGCACTGCCGAGGCAGTTTACATAACTGTTTTAGAAGTTTCCATGTAAAATGCATTACAGTAACATTTTAACCTTGGGATATCACCGTCTTCAATTCTACTTTCAGCAGTTGCCTCAAAAGCAGTATACTGCTTATCAACTATCTAAGGAATGCTGCAGCCCACCCTGAAGAAACTGATACATACCTAGGTTGCACTATAAAAGCCATTAACAGTAACACCTAATTTATAAGAAGACAGGAAAAGTTAAAATGCTTCAGTGGAAAAGTGACATAGTTAAGACTGTGCTCTGCACTGTAGTCCCAGCTCTGCCACTTAGCAGTGTCACACACCTCGCCCAACGCTGTGAGAGTGAGTGTGTAAGTACACACACTCAAGAGCAGCCCCTGACACAGAGTCCGTAATTCGGTAACTGCCACCTTGAAAGTCATCAAGATTATGTGAGAGCTAAAGACCTACTCTTTAAAAGATGTGTCAGCTCATAATTTAAAATCTTTGCATAAAAGTTTTGCTAAAATTTTTAAAAATTTTGAAATGTTTGTATTTTCATTTAATTCAAAGGCCTTGCAGATCTTTAAGCTTTTTAAAAATCACAAGTATCTCTCAACCCTGGAGTTCTACCCTTGTAATAATGTCAGGTGCTTTACTTTCATCATGGAAAACTGACATATCATTCCTTTTGAAAACTGCCAGGTCAGCCTTAATATGTCAGCATCATGTCTGGATGTTTTAATATATTCAGAATTAAACCTTCCATAGAAATAAAGACACACATATGTACATATTGTATTTGCTCATACATGTGTCTGATGAAACCATTTACCTTGGCCTACTTCCCTTCTCCTAGAAAGTCTACTGTAATTTGAAACTATGTAACAATATACTCTGAAACACCTCTCAAGCTAAGGTTAGGACCTCAGGAAACAGACACAAAGTTGTAAAATAAGGCCTGCACTTTAGATGCAAGTAGAACAGTTTCTGCAGCCAAGAAAGCCGATGAGGAAACGAGAAGACTCTCCTGAGGGCAGGCTGGCCAGCAAACACAGGCCGCCTCACTCTCACCAAGAAAGGGTCTGGGAGAGAAACCGAAAGGGTGGAGAAGGGCTAGAGATGCAAAGCACGGCAGGAGAAAAGACCACTCACGAGGAGACGGGGCAGCAGGAAGCAGCAGGATGCAGTGGTTGGGCTGGGGGATCAGCTGTGCAGAGGGGGTTCTGGACAGAGGCATAAAGCAGGACTCACTGTACAGGCTGGCACCCCCTTTATGGAGACACCCAGCACTGGTGAGACACGGCACAAGGGACAGAGACTCAACCTGTCCTAGTGCATTTCCCAGGGAGTGACTCTGCCTGTTGAAAGTCATCAACTCTCCGTGTGAATTTCTACACAAACCTGAGGTTACTTTACAGGTTAAGGACGAACCGCAAGGCTCCGACTCCAGACAGTGCAATGCCCTACACCTCTTGCTGGTGGCCAGGACCGTGACGCCCAGGCTGAGCTCCGCCCTGCAAGGGGGAGACGGAGAGAATGCCACAGCCGGAGCCCAGGCTCCCCTGCAGAGACAGAGCCACTCCATGGGGTTCGGCCGCGTTTTAGGAAAGGACATCAGCATGAAATGAGCAGCAAGGAAATCCCAGAAGGCAAAGACACATGGTGAAAGGGTAAGAGGCAATGGAGCCGGCTGGGAACGCTGTGTGCACTGGGAGAGCCGTGCTCTCCCGCGGGGCTGGCTGGCGAGACGGAGCAGGCAGCCACCCCTCTTCCCAGCCCCAGCCCCAGCCCCCTGCCCTGCTCGTCCAGGTGGCGATGGGTTAGAGCATGCACAGGACAGCGTGGAACGAGGCCTCGCATCCTCGTACTGACTCACACTCAAACTATTGAAGGATGAAACTAATGAGAAATAGGACATTAACATCAATGCAGTGCCACATTTAAAATCCAGATGGTTTCAAACTTCTCCGTCTTAAAACAAAATATGCCCCAATAATTTACATTATAATATACTTTACCTTGAGAGAACTCCAAAGTAATAGTTTCCAGTTTAGGATGTTTGATTAATCTTTGCATTAACCAAGAAAATAATATAAGCCATATGCAAACAGACATCTCATGCAATTTAGTACTCAAATGTACTTAGTTTGTATGAACTTTAAAAGCACATGAAAGTAATATCAAGGCCATCTACGATCTTCAGATTCATGCCCAAGATAGTCAGATAAATTCTACGCAGAAAGCCTGTCATGCAATGCAGTGCCAAAATTCACTTATTTTTTAATAAATAAACTAGTAGAATTGCAATAAATAAATCAGCCTTTTATTCAGCAGGAATATTACATGGCATTTTGTAAGACAAATAATGAGCAAAGCATTGTAAAGTGAACTAATGTTCTGTAGCTGTATTAAAACAGCTGAATTTAATCTACTTTATGGAAATACATTATTACTATGGAACAAGGATAGAACCTGCACTCAGGGTGTGGGTAACTTTAGCCAGGACCAGTATTACAGAATATCTAGAAGGGCATCTGTTGAATAAATGAATGAGAAATAGTAGCTGCTTTGAATTATATCTTATATTCAAATCAGGCAGTATATGGTATTAGTTTCTATGCATTTTTACAACTTAAAATTTTACCTATTATAATAAGTCAAAAGAATATTACAGAAAAATATACTTTTAAAATTCTTACACCAGCAAGTCAGACAGGAATAATACAATATATTCTACTGATTAATAGGTATCAGATATTCTGTAAACAGTTGTAAAAGTGAAGTATGCTGACAGTAATTACTACCTTTGGATCTCCACCGCTGACAGATATCATTATCTTTTTGAAAATAAAGTTTTACTGTCTTTTTGAAAATATTGAAGATAAAGTTTTATTAAAATGCCAAATAGAAAATACTAAAATTATAAACAAATGGCTATTCTTTTTTATTGGATACTACTCTTCTTTAAAGAAAAGCTTTACCACTTTCTACAGAGCAGTTTCATGGGAGTTCTGTACCCCATGACAGTATGCTAGCACTCCCGCAAAACAAAAACTGAACCACCAGATCTGCGGCAGACGGGACAGGTCAGCATGGGACAGGTCGTTGACTATACACAGTTGACCTACAATCTTTAGTTTCTGATGCAGTATCTAGAAAGCATACACTCTGTCCTAAAATAAATTGTATCTTCAGATAGCAGCTGTCTCCTACAGTCCGCTGTCCAGGCTGAGTGTCAGGAAAACCTCTGTAGCCTTGAACATGACCAGGCCCGATATGCTGAGGTTCCAGTTTAGTGGCACGTCTGGCAGCGGGCCCAGGCTGCCTAACATACCTTTATCTCTAAGCATTAAAGAAAAAATGCTCACTGTGAAAACAATTTTGAAAAATACAGAGTATATAAGATAAAAAGGAAAGCCTCCTGTGTTCCTTTTCTTTGCCAAATCTTGACCCCAGCAGTAGCTCATGTTAACTCTTCGGTATGTACTGCTGCAGACTGTCGTGACTTACCCGGTCTTGGTATAGAAGGGCCTGTTTTGTTTTCTGTTGCTTTTAAAAACTATTGCAAATGTAAATCCGCGGTGATTCTCACCAAATGTAGAGAATCCATCTGCCACAAAACACTAGCTATGTTTTACACACAATTTTCTTGGTGGCCACAGGGCAAGCCTCAAGAAGGTCACAGCTTCTTGCCTAAAGTAGCTGAGACAGAGACTCTGGGCTGCAGATGGGGCAGAGAGCTGACTGCCTGGTATCTAGAGTTAATAACCAGGCCCCAGGAGAGGCCCTGCAGGGCTTCTGACTGCCGGGTTGACAGACGCACGGCTTTTCCAGAGCAAACGCTGCGCAGCTTCCCCAAAACGAGTTAGCGGATGGATCTACGTCATGATACTGAATGACTTACTCCTCAGGGAGGGTTTCAGTCTCGTTCTGCCCTTCCCAGTAAGTGTTCACAGCATGCCCACGCTTCTGGGCTGTTTTCAGACGGGGTCTCCTATGTGGCCCAGGCTGGCCTTGAACTTACAGGTACAGACCACCACGCCAGCCTCTCACCTCTTCTTTCCAATGACCACACAAGTGTTCCACTGCAGGTGCTTTCTCCTTCTCTCCCGCTTCCTTCATCTCCAGCTGGCTGCACTTCTGAATCTGCTCTGGGGTCAGATGGGAATCCTGCACTATGGTAGATGGCTCTGGAGCAATGACCGGGGTAGGAAAGTCATAGTGTCCAACGGTGCGGCATTGATATTAAGTCCAATACACTCAAATATACAAAGCAGCACTAAAAACTGCTAAACGAGCAGAGGGCAAGGATGAGTTAATGTCAAAGACTTATGTAAAAGTTATGGACAATGTCTAAAAGTGCTCAAATAGTTTCTGTTTTAACCACTAATCTATTACTGAAGAGTCTAGTTAGGACAACTAAATTTCAGAGCTTGTAAAATAATAATCACTTTGAAAGAATTTTACTTGGTAATTCAGAATGCTCACACGTTGATATTTTCTAAGAAGACTTACAAACTGAGTTTATCACTAAGTACTGCAATAATGCTTCTCAATGTCCTAAAGGTGTGTGCAGACTGCAACTGTCCTCTCGTTCTTCGCTGAAATGGATTAAAAGCATCTATAAAGAAAAGGTGCATCCATCACAACTTCTGTTCACAGAGGAGGTGTGTACAGGAAACTGCGAGCGCTGCTCCGACCCGGGGTGAGGGCACAGGCAGTGGGAAGAGCCGGTCAGCCCTCTGGCGGGTGAACAGGACGCAGAGGGTCTCTGAGGACTGCGACACTGCACAAGAGAGTCCGCTACAGGAGAATTTCCCATCTCATTACCTTTTCAGGAGATGAGTCAAGACTTTCCCATCCAGTTACCAGCAGACACTTAGACTAACGTGACTTTTATTTTATACTGTCTAATAAGGTGGCTTTTATTTTAATGAGTACCTTTTCAATTATAACTATATTAAAGGAAAAATGACTGCTGTCACCAACACTCTGAAGTATAATTCAATTAATTTTGAAAGTAATTACCTCTTATTTGGGTTCATATTTCTATCCCAATTAACACATTATCACAAGTCCAGACTAATACACCCATGACAAAAGACTGAGATTACCATTCCAAAATTCTTACTGTTCTCTATGTGAGTACAGAGAAATTCAAAACGTAGCCTTTCTTCATCCACACTGAGATGAATGTATTTGCTGTTTACTTGTAATTGAGAAGTGCTGCTAAAGTTATCCACATAGTTCTAACTATTTTTTCTGTAGAAAGGAGAGCTGAATGTGAAGGGTAGGGAACAATGTTTCTTTTCCTAGGCCTGAGAGAAAAGTACAAGAAGTCCATAGGACACCTCCAGTCTCAAAGCACTGCTGTGTGTAGGAAACAGCTGACCAAGCGCGTCTATCTGACAAACGTTTCCAGGAGCGCACCCACGCCCACCATGGGCACACGTCACAGGAGTGTCACAACTCCGCTGCAGAGACGTGAGTGTTCCCCATCGGGTCCTTACGGAAAAAATACGCTGACCTCTGCCCTCAGCCTTAGGAAAGGATTCAAAGATGTTCAAAGATATTCAACTCTGTTCTCTTATTTTAATGGGCTAGTTGAGTATGGGTTTGGTGTAAAACTAAATCTTAATTTTTTTCTCTTTACATTTAAGGAAAAAAGTCTTAGGGAATGGAAAATTATTTGAAATATTATTTTGAAGTTTAATTTTGCCACAGTTGAGTATACCTAAGTACAAATCAATAGCTTTACGAATTTTTAAGAAATGCATTTATTCCATTTTGTTTTGTATCTGTTAATAATTACAACATTAAAATGTAAAATATATTCTATACCTCATGAAACTTCATAATTATCTCATCTCTTTAAATAAAGTTTATTGATATTACTTTGTCAAAAACTAGTTGAACAAAAGAAAAAAACCATTTTACATTTATTTCCATTTTTAAAACTATTACTATATCTTTCAAAGTTAACATTAAAATAATGAAGTTCCTGTTTGCGATGTAAAACCTCGCCTGATTTTATAATAACATATATGCTTATAATACAACCTGGCAGCTGTAAGCACAGACACAAACAGCTGACAGCAGCTACTAATGCCCATCTACAAAACATTTCACTGGATGCCGAAGGGTACTTTATACAGGAAAGCGTTAAGCAGCAGACTCCAAAGTGCAGCATGCCCTTGCTCGCAGACTTACATTGCTGATAGACTTATGTAATGCCTCCCCCAGAGACTGCCGCTGTGAGGAGACAGAACAAAGAGAGTTCAGAGCGCAGCTCCACGACACGGGGGGACACAACGGAACAGCGAAACACAGAACATCAGTTCAGATACGCTCAAGAACAGAGAAGCTGAAATCGGTCTGAGGAAGAAATGAGGACGTTAAGACCTAGTCTAAATTATCGGTAAGTCCCTCAAAACCACCTGCTCTGGGGTGGGCACAGACGTACCCACGCGAGATACTACAGGCCAGGACCTGCTCACCACAACTCAGGTGAAAAGACAGCGGTGGGCAAAAACCTAGAAACAATACTGCTGCTCTAAATCCCTCCCCAAACCTACAACAGAACCATTGAGAGCATCACAGCCAGTACTGCTGTGGGATCTCGGAGGATTTTTCCAAAGAGAAACCAGGACAAGAACCATGACACCGCCATGACTGACAACTGCACGCTGGAGGCAGAAACAACTATGAGATAATCACCGGAACCAGGAAGACTGACTAATAACCGGGCTCTGTACATGGGGGAAAGGCAGTGAGATGCCTTTCTATCTTTTTAAATTCTACTTGTAGTACGTATTTGCCAAAATTACTTAGGATCTGGATTCACTGCTTTACAAGTCTGTTGAAGTTTTGAGGGCTACATCATTGGGAAGCTCCACCCTCCTTTTAAATATGGGGGAAATATGATTTCATTTTCAACCACTTCACTTTTTTATCTTCCAAATATACTAAATAGCATTTTCAATTTATATTACCAATTTAAATAAAAATGAAAGATTTTTACTCTGGACACATCAAATTTTCAGACAAAAAATAATTATTTTTTCATGATGTGACTGTTCCTTGAAGTGTCACAGGCTCAAGATCGTTTTTATTTGGAAAATAATTTTTTACTAAAGACGTAGACTAACGTATCCAAAGACACAGTTTACAAGGGGTGAAAATACAAAGTGAGAAAACAGACTGCCTATTTCATTCTCTCGCAGCTTCTCAATTTAAAGTCCTATATTTTTATATGTGTTAATTACACTAATTTTTTTCACATTCATATTCTTTACATGAGACTTCATAAAACTTAAGGAAGTCAGGACGTTTTAGTTTTCGTCTTCCTATTTCTCAGTACTGTTGTCTTAGTGCTAGAGGTTAATCTAACATGTATGCTATTTACTCATGAAGTAGATTTTGTTTTCCATTCTTTAGGGTGTTACCAGACAAAACTACTTGTTACTTAAGATCCCTGAATCAACTGATACGTCAGGAAGAGATGGCAAATCAGAGTGGCACGCAGGTCTGGACTCAGTCTGGACTTTACGTCTCACTGTTTCGAGCGCTCGGAGTCGCAGCTCCTGTGGTCACCACCCCTAGCACACACAGGCGTGGGTGGGTTACAGCAGCCTCTAAACCAAGAGGCACGTCCTTGGCTGTGCCTTGGGTGAGCTCACGTCACACACCTGGCCACACGACAGGCACAACTGTCAGGTGGAAATGCTACTGTTGGTCACCACATAAATGAAGTGAGGTTTTTCACTTAATATTTCAGTACAGCAATATTCCAGAAAATATACTAAGTGCAAAGTGACATATAGAGCCAAGTCAGACAATAAAGCAAACACGAAAAACAAAAGAACCAAATAAGAAAAAGTAAGTGGTAAATAGGATTTCCCAAAAGGCTGCCAAGATGGGTATAGTGGTTGATTGATTATGTCAACTTGAGAAGTTTAGAAGCATAACTAAACTTGGCTCAGCAACTGGCTCCACCCTAGGGTGTAGAGGAGCCACCCTAGGATGGATCATCACCTAGATAATATAAAAGGGAAATGAAGAAGGACAGAGGTACTGCCATTCCTTTTGGAGGAGTGCCAGTCTTCACCTTCAGCTTGGACTCGAGCTGCCAGAGCTAAGCAGCTTTGCTCCCCCATGCCCTTCTACCGTGCCTTTTCTATTGTGGAGCCAGCTGACTAATAAATCCCCCGAACCGTGAGCTAAATAAACCCTTCCTCCTTTCAGCTGAGCATCCTGGGTGTTTGATCCCAGTGATTAAAGGCTGATATAAACATCTATCCCACTCCTGTCCCATCACACACTCTGGAAGCACAAAATACGTGCTTGGTGCTATAATCAGGATGCTGACTGTCCCTGAAGATGGAGCTGCTGGGAAGTGGGGGGACTCCTGGGAGGGGGGCCCAGTGGGAGGTCCCTAGGTCACAGGATGTGCCCTTAAGGGAGTGACCAGACCCCTATTCTCTTCCTCACTTCCTCCCACATAGGCCGGACCCTTGCTGTCACAGCCCCCATCAGAGCACTGAAAGCCACAGCTGAACTAGTCATGGCCAGGAACCTTCAAAACGGTGGGTCAAAATCAACCTCTTCTCTCCTGAGTTAATTATCTCAGGTATTTCATTACAGGGACAGAATGACCAATACTTGGCTTCACAGGTCTGCAGAGGGGAACACTCTGGCTCAGGACAAACTATCAGAGTATTACTAACATCTAGCTTAGCTGACATTCAAAGGAGACATCTGATTTTAAACTTTAGACTTCAAGGCTGATACTGAAATGAGGTAAAGAAGGGGATGTTGGGATGAAATGGGTGTATCTGCATGTATGCATACTGGGGGACCAGGATGAATGCCCATGCCCCCTCCAATACATATAGTGAAACCCTAACTGCCTATGTGGTATCAGAAGTGGAACGTTTGTGAAGTGCTAGGTCCTGAGGTGGTCAAAGACCCCAGCAAGTTCCCGTAACTCTCTCACCAGGCAAGGCTACAATGAGAAAGCAGCTAGCTGTCCATGAGCCAGGGACCAGCCTCCATCAGATACCAGATCTGCTGGCATCTTGAGCCTGGACTTCCTGTCCTCCAGAACTGTGAGAAATAAATGTATGGTTCAAGAAAAAGGATTCTGTCGGCCCAAGTTGAGGGCACAAGTGCCTGCCTGAAGGACACTAGGTGAATAAACACTTGTGTGCACAGACACTACTTGGTGTGCATCCTACCTAAGCAAGATCAGCACTAACAAAAACAGATGCCATGTTTAATGGTCAATTTGTTCTAAAGCTGCTTCAGTTTCTTGTCAGTCTTCAAGATGAGTGAAAAAAGCCTCACGCGAGCCCCTCCCACTGAAAGCACTGAGATACCAAGATAGAAAGCACTCTGACTGGGGCTCAGGGTTTCAGGTCAAGAATGTAAGGGAGGAGAAAACCTCAAGACAATGTAAAGAAGTTGTGGTGCTTAATTTGAAATTTAGAGCTACACTGAAAAAGCAATGCTCTTGAGAGTTCTCTCACTGTTCTAAACCTAGGTTTATTCATTAGAAACAGGACAAGGTTTTACATGTTTGCAATTTGTAAACACACTGCTATATGAATACTGAAATGCACTGAACGGTAACCTTTTAGGGGACACAGACCCTGTCTTCATGCTTTGCAGCCAAAGTGCCTAAATAGGTGCCTGGCGTAGAGTAACAGATTTCACAGCTTTAGTAATTCTCCCAAAACAAAAACAAAAGAAAAAGCCGCAAACCATCACTCAATATTAAGCTGGAACAGTCGTAACGGGCCTGTGAATGTAACTAAGGTGAGAACAAGCTTACATGTCAGCTTATTCTTGAGCCTTTCCTCAGAGACTCAGTCTGAACATCACAATCCCACGTCCGCCGCACCCTCTCGGATCCAGACCCTCTGACGCTTTCTGGCGTCCTGCACGAGATGGCAGGATCGAGCCGAGGGGTGCCTGCGCGGTGGAAACGCCTGTCAGGATGTGTCCCTGGCGCTCGGCCTGGCAGCTGACTGCCCAGTGCTGGAAGCAGCAGGACACAGATCCCAGCCTCACCTCATGCTCTTCTCCTGAAGAAGCCAGTTTAACACGGGGCAGGCTTAAATTCTGAAGAGGAAGTTTTGGCAGAGAAAGAAAACTGAGTATTAATAATGAAATTAACTAACCTTTTAGGTTGATTCAGAAAAGCATTTGTTACTGTGTATCTTAGAGGAAGAACCAACCACGTATATCTGAGGAAAGATGATGTAAGAGCTGAAGTGAATTTTTAATTTTTAATTAATTTAAAAATAATTTTTAATTAATTTTTAAATAATTTTTTGATGAAAGAGAAATTAAGGATAAACTTCCACCTTCACATAAGGACACTTTTTCCAATCAACTCTGAGTCAGAACTGAAGCTGGGGGACCACCGCGATTCCCAGCCGAAAAGCGCGCAAAGAGCCAGGTAGGCCGCACCCAATCCCGGAGGCCAGGA